CCGCCGCCTAGTCGCCGTCGCCGTCGCCGTCGCCGCCGCCGCCGTCTCACTTTCGCTGCTGCTTCAATTCTTTGTAGCTTAGTGAGCTAGCTTCTCAGGTGAAGAATGTTTCAGTGGTTTATTTAGTCTGGGTTTGGTTCGTTGATTAGATCCTGATGATAAGTGAAGTGAAATGTGCACGTTTGTGATGTTTAATTAGGTGCTGGATTAATTCAGCTAATCCCTTGCTTTAATGTAGTAACATGATGTTTTAAGAGAAGTTGGGCCGTTGTTTGAAAATACAGAAGTTATTGGGCCGTCATTGCATGCCCACTATCTGCAAATGGGCTTTGAACTCACTGGAGGTATGTGTGTCATATCGAGCCCACTATCTGCAGAAATTCAGATGAAACCCTCAGCTGGACCGGCCCATTTCCTTCTTATTAGGCCGAAAAATAGTTCGTGCCATTCCATTCTCTTCCACGTGTTCTTCACGTGAATGCGACGAGTGAAATGAAAGCACCCGTGACGTTGCATTAGCCATCAGGCAAAGCATCCAGTAAACATCCGTACCATGTGCTCACGTCCATCATCTGTACGTGTGCCACAATTATTGTCCCCCTCTACTAATGAGGAAGGCGTATTGGCCAGCAATTTCTCCTACATATGGTGGCGTTTGTTTCCGATGAAAATAAAGAAAGACAGAGCACACAAAATAAGAAAGCCACTAATAAGTTGTTATAAACTTAAAAAATAATTTATTTGATATTTTAAAGCAATATTTATATAAAAAGTTTTCATACGAAACATACCGTTTAGCGTATCAAAAACGTGCTCTAATGAAAAGTTGAGAAAAAAAACACACATATTTTGACAATTTGACCCTTTAAAAAAAAACTAATTTTACAAATGAACTGCGGCCAAAACTTAGGGCTGTTTTGGTTTGATGACAAAATTTGCCCTACAAAATAGTTGGCACTTTAGATAGTACCTTGTTGATGTTTGGATTGATGCCAAAATTTACCAAATATAATACAACTCCTACAAACCAATTCTACCAAAATATTGATTTGGCACTACCAATGATTTGGTAGGGCACCAAACCAAATGAGCCCTTATTTCAGAAATGATCATTTTGTTCAGCGCCAAATCGTATGGCGCTGAATTTAGACACCTCAGCGTCACGTCAACTGGCGCTGAATGCCATGCCACTGCGAATGGAAGGCTGAGTTGGCATGCCAACATGCATTCAGCGCCGTGCTATTTGGCGCTGAGGTGTTTGGCGCTGAACAAAAGGGTTATTTTTAAAATAAGTTTTAGCCATGGTTCATTTGTAAAAATTAGTTTTTGTAAAGAGGCATATTGTTAAAATTTGTGAAAAAAAACATATCTTAATTAGAAAAGAATATGGCCATATATAATCCAATGTTCCGTTCGTATGCATGCTTATTGCACTGCGATGAGGAAGGCTATGTCAGAAGCAAACTAGAGGGACTCTTGTTTAGAAATATTTTGAGAAGCAGTCACTGAGCATCCAACCATTGAAAATGTAGAGAAGTTCGAATTTTAACAAAAAAATCTAAACTATCTGAGACGCTGAAAATTAGGAAAATACCCACAACTGCTAGAAACCAAGGGCGGATCCAGCATAGAGACGGAGGGGTCTTAACCCTCACTACTGACGTGAATACTATAAGAGCCCCTACGAAAATCGCACTAAAATATTTTACCATGTGTAGATGGGAGAGGGGCTATAACACTATCTAATTTGCTCAGATTCACTGTTATTTTTTTCTGATCCGTCACTACTAGAAACTCCCCTCAACTTTCAAGCACCTCTCGAGCCATGACATGAACAAACGTTTGTACTACTACTAGTGAAAACTCAAAAGCACCAGGGGATTCAACTTTCGCTCAATTGCGAGCCTTGTGCCTCCTCGGATTTTCGCCCCCCCCTTGTCAAACCTGCAATCATCTTTGCATCTTTGTAGATGCAAAAGCTTCCATCGGCATTGCCCGAGGCGGCGTTGCCTGACTTTGCTACAGTGTTGTACTACCTGCGTTTTTCAGTGTTGCTCTCTTCTGAAGCCACGAGCACATTCAGTTTCACTTTGCCATGCGACCCCAACCAATGCAGTTCGTGATGGTACTGTAACTTTTTTTTTTTTTTTTTTTTTTGGCTTTGAGGACCAGCACAGTTTTGGCCTCGGGGACGACGAAAAAAGCAGCAGAAGCAGCTGCAGATGCATGCAGTGCCATGCACTGCTCCGGCTTGACGGCAGAGTCGAGATGATGGGTACCGAGTCAAAAAAGCAACAACCAAAAAAAGTTTCTTGCTATTGCTACTTCCGCCATTATATTTTAAGAGCAGGTATAATAGCAGGCTATAAGCTAGCTGTAAACATATTTTAAAAAGATAAATGAGGAGAGAGAAGAGCAGCGGGCTACAGATTTATAGTCAGCTATAGCACGGACTCCAAGACACCGTGTGTCTATGACAGCTGGGACCATGTATTAATAATATAGTATGTAACTAATGTATAAATGAGCTATTAAATTGGCTATAGATGAATTGGAGCTAGTAGTTGGCTATACTATTAAACTTGCTTTAAGTGTAGCCATGAGTGTTTGGTATTCAACGTTTGATCATCCGTTTTGTTTAAAAATTATTTATGATTAATATTTTTATTGTTACAGGATGATAAAATATAAATAGTATTTTATGCGTGATTTATTTCTTAAATTTTTTAAATAAACGAACGATCAAACATTGAACACAAAAATTTATAACTGCATTTAAATGGGATGGAGGGAGTTGTATATAGTATACGGTATAATTAACTGTGAAGCTGCAGCGGCCATACGGAAGGTATAAAATGTCGCTTTTTAGCGATTTCGTCGTACGTAGGCTAGTCTCCCAAATCTGGGCCAGCATTGTTGTGACATTGTGTGATCTGAATTCCATTTCACGCATTGTTCAGTACGTCATTAGAGACAGAGACATGGATCTAACCAGATCATTAATAATTATGCAATCTGTTTCTCCCTTTCAGTTTCCAACAGACAAAAAAAAAACCCTTATAATCAGAGTTGCAAAACATTGCAGCTTTGTGTGGCTATCTGAAAAACGGCAGTCGCATCGCATGCATGTCACAGCTCTCACGAAGTCGGCAGAGATGCGTACTTGAGGTCTAATTGCATGCAATTGGAGAGAAACGCCAGAAGAGATTTTTTTCTTTTTTTGTTTGTGCAAGACAGGATCATCATCAGGATGGCGTCTCAATTTCTTCAGAAGTTCACGACAGCTTCCGTTATCTAGGGAGTGTTCTGGACCACCACTAATAAATGGCGTTTTTGTTTCTCTCTTGCTTGGCCTAATGACCTGCCTTTTGGTAGCAATCGTTAGGCACAAAACCTTGAGCTGTTCTACTGATGACAAATGGAGAGGAACAGCAAAGACACAGCTAAATGATAGCTATTGAAAATGTTCACTCCTTGTTGATTGTTCTTCTTGAAAAGAAAAAAAAAAAAGGAACAGCCTTGCACTACGCAGAGGAGAACTTAAAATAACTATAGATGAGACTAGTCTAAGTTAATTCCAGTTAACTAAGGCACAATGATATTGTGATACACACAGAGTATAAAATTGGCTGTGGAGAGAACATGCATGCAACACAATGATCATCGCCGATTCTTGAAGATATATCTATACAAAATACGTGTACAATCATGTAGCATGTTCATGGCTCATAAAGAAATTGGGTGAAGTCTTTAGCCTTCAGATTAGTTTTTTTGCCATTGCAGTCTCTACTCCTTGGATGCCATTTTGTGTGATATCAGACTATCAGTAGCTTTCTGATGCTTTCTCCTTTTGGTTTTCGTATAATAGAATCCTTGGTGTCCAATCAGCGTTGCCCCAGCGTATAAGAGAAGGTTCTGCACTGATAGTTGCCGGCCACAACTGCTCATCAACGCATAAACAATTCGGGACACATAACTGTCTGATCTTTTGAGCTCTTTGCTCAATTTTTCTATGGAACTTGTGTTGCCATGTTGGATAGTAGTAGAATAATATAAAATGGTATAGTCATGTTGGGCACAACAAGAACAAGATCAAGAAACTTAAAGAAAGTTAGGCTGCGTTCGTTTGGACGTTTTCCCAGCGCGCTACAGTAACACGGAAAACGGAACGGTTCATTAACACGTGATTAATTAAGTATTAGCTATTTTTTTTTTCAAAAATAGATTAATTTGATTTTTTTAAGCAACTTTTGTATAGAAACTTTTTGCAAAAAAGTACACCGTGTAGTAGTTTGAAAAGCGTGCGCGGGGCAAAACACTGTAGCGCGCTGGGAAAACGTCCAAACGAACACAGCCTAAGTCACAAACCTATCTAGGATCAGCTGGTATTGGCACTAATGTACTGTAGTATCACTTTTCAGAGATGTTTACAACTGAGAGAAAAATGCTTTTAAAAGTTGGTCGGTGTAGGGTTCCTTCCAAGAACTCGGATCCACGTAATCTGCAAAGTTTCGCCGGACCTAATATTAACCAATCATTGCTTCAGTAGCACAAAATGACATACATACAGGTTCCCTTACACATGACTGTGACTGAAACCTGAAGGTACTAGTTCATGCATGTCCAAAACCTGCCAATTCAGGGCACAAAACTACAATCCTTCTGAGGCATCAGCAAACACAAACAATGTACAGTGACCCGATTGCTTGCATGCAGATTGCTGTTCACCATTTCTCATCAGCTAATATTTGTACGAAAATCTGCAGACTGAACAGTGAACATCATACTGCTGCTGAACTGAATCTGTCATTTTCATTGCAGGGAAGCAAGTTACGCAAAGTTCGCAGCGTTGCTCCATTGGTGGTTTGTCCCAATGCAGAATTGCTGATAACCCATCATAGCATGCTGACTCTGAAGAACACAAAATGCTGATGCATCAGCAGCCACTGAGTTTTTTCAGTTGGCCCCATCTCATTGCTGCATAATTGGAACTTCACATATATAGCCAACAAATGATCATTCATTCCAGGAAAGGAGAACAAAACTGTGGCATCACTAGTACTAGGCAAATAGCCACCAAGGTCCCAAAGAAAAAACACTGTACAGAGTGAAGTAGAGTGATTATCCAAGGATTTCCTATGGGTATTGATCAAGACAGTTACAAAAGAATAGTACCTGATACATGTTACCCTCAGGTAAAAACATTTACAACTCCGGACTGGCTTGCGCACTTTTGTGCATGGCTACAAATTTCCTATCTGTAAGTTGAATCATTGAGTTAACATCTACCCTACAAAATATTAGTGAGCTCTATATATGTGTGTATAAAGCTATTTATATTTACGCTACAGCCAGACTACCTCTGTTGGAAAACCATGAGTTCAAGCAGCTCTACCACCAAGATCACTTCCACTGAAGCTGCCATCCATTTTCATACATACAATTGACAGCACACAAGTAGAGTGCCCAACTGCATTTTGCATGGTGTGACAGCCTGATCTTTCTTTGGACAGTTTAAAGTTCATCTACACCTGGAGGCAGAGGTTTCTTGAGCTTCAACACATTTTCAGCTATCTAGCCTGTCTTCTTGAAATGCTTTGTATATAAAATCTTTAAAACGTCTAGAGTACTGCCTTGGGTCCACCGCTGATATTGAGGTTGGGTCATACTGGAAAGATTTGTATGCATGCTCGAGCTTTTTGCTGATATCATAATCTTGAAGTATGTCTATTATCCCAAAATATAATATAGCATCATAATACTCCCCAGTTGGCTCTCCAATAAGCTGTGGTTCCAAATCATTCTTCCGAGCAGTCAGTTCAGCTCTTGCAGGCATGTTTGCTCCGAGCTTGATTTTAGGCCACCTGTTCATTCATAATATTCAGATGTAAGTCACAGGAAATAGTGAAAAGCAAACTGGAAGTGTATTTTCATGGGAAATAATTATTAATTCTATGAGTATCTGTAGCCCTATCTTGGTTATGTGGTTATTTACCACCTTCTGTCCAACTAGTTGATAGTACATATAACCACATCGCAAACAGCTAGCAGGCAAATTATGGAAAGGAAGGAACTGCTAAGGTCCTATGCAAAACAATGCCCTAGAGTAGCCATGAACCAAGTGGACACATTCCAGATTTTGAATTTTTTTTTATTAGATAGTGATTCCAGATTTTGAATAGGTCATATGAGAATGATTACATGGTTTTATATTTAATAGATAATGTCTTTATTAGGTCAATTGCTTCTTCAGAAAGAAGCATGAATATCACGCAATATGTGATGATTTGCTGGTGTGATTGTGAAGCTAGCCCGTCACGACATAAGGTCAAGACAAGCAAACATCACATAAGTATGAATTTTCCATATATAATATTAGGTCACATTTCATTACCACATTTGTAAACGATACAACAGATATTAAATGTTTGGCTTACCTGTTTGGATCAGTGAGACACTGATCCACATTTCCTCTTGAAAGACGAGGAGTAGATATTTTGTTGATATCGTAATCGGTGGAACCTTCAACCAAACAAAAGGCCTTGTAAGGGATAAAATGAGCATGCCCAAGAACTCAAGTTTTATTCATGACAAACTTTGCCTGTTTTTAAGTTTTTTTTTTTTTAACCAACCTTCGCTCAGAAGCTTCTCTCTATTGCCTCTAAAATGTACACCCACCAGAAGACTGTAATCCATGATCTTCTCCTGCTCAAGGAAATCGCAATCCCTGTCCACTTGCCTGCTTCAACACATTTAATTCTATATTAATGTTTTGAAGGAAAAAAAATGATTACATGCCCAAAACTAGAGTATGAGACAATATGTTTTTGCACCTTTGGAACTCATGGAACCATTGCTTCTTCAGTCTAAATATGAAATTCAGATCAAGATCCTTCAGAGTTGTATACTGATCAATCTCAGTTTGTGGCTTGTCAGTTGTTCGGCCAAGAGACGAGCCTTTTAGATCAAAACGCCTATGGATGGAATGATCAGAGCAGAACAGATTTCCCATGATGACAAAGCGAACCTGGGCGGTAATATAATGGTAAAGAGTCAGGGAACACATCCGACAATGTATACGACAAAGAAAGCGCTAAGGATGGATATGAAATACTGAAATATACAGTGAGATTCGTCTCTAACCTTTTTCTGGTTTGCCCCAGCTAATTTAACACAATGTAGACCAAAAAATTTGGTAACTAGAGTGTTCTCGAATGAACGGACATGATTATAGTAAGCAGGAAGCATCTTAAGCAGCATCTGTAATGTAAACAAATTTTTTTTCCTTAATTCAGAATAAGCTTAGGAAGATTGGAAAATGGAAAGCCTAGATAGTCAGCGGATCACAAGGACAAACCTTTACTTCCGATTTCTTCATTGTCTTTATCATGTATCGATCATCATTTGTAAGGTAAAAGAAGCTTCCACTTTTACCAGGAGAAGAGAGCTCACGCAGAGCCTCACTTCCACAAAGGGATAACATATAATCAGCAGCATCCACCTTGAACAACTTGCGCAGCGTCCTTTGATTCAGTTCAGAACAAATGTTGATCAGCATTATGACACCAGAACAAGGGTAAAGCATACAATTTTAACATGGGAGTGATGACCAACCGGAACACCTGAGGGCAGTAATCCTTCCATTTGAAATCACAAGAATTGTGCGGAGGGGTGTATTTTGAGCCTTCTGGAGGGAACTTTGTCCATACTTTTTCCTTTGGGTCAAAAGCCGAGGATTTCAGATCAAGCGTAACTGGACCTTGCTTCCCGACTGCATGCCTGTGCCAACAAGCCATCGATACACACATGGATTTAATCATGGGAAAAAGTTGATAAAAATATGATCTATAGGCTAGCGTGGAGTTCAATCGATTTCGAGCCATAAAGGAAAATGCCATCTTAATGCTGGAAAATATAACATACACTGCAAATCATAATCTGATTAACAACCCAAGAATATCACAAAGCAAAAATTTTATCGAATTACTTATAAATATTCCCCAATTAAAAGCAATCGCAAAACAAAATTTCACATCATTCATAACATACAGGGGCAAAAAGGAGGAGCTCACGCACCTGATCCCGAGCTGCAAGTTGAGCATGAGCTCGTAATTCTTGTGACCCTTGGCGATGGTCTCGCCCTGCCGCTTCGCCTCCCGCGGTGGCACCCACTTGGCGATGCGCGGCGCCGGCGACGGCGGCGCGAGGACCAGCCCATCACCGGCGGCGGCCGCCTTGATGCTCCTCCTGGGGCCCACCGCCTCGTCGGCCAACGCGGCGCCGTCGACAATGTCGCAGGTGATGTCCCCGTCGGACTCCCAAATGCAAATCTTGTCGTACTTCCTGTCGCCGCCGGAGCTGTTGCTCAGCCCCGACGCGGAGCTCGACCGCGCATTGCCCGCCGCCGCCGCGGCGCCGCCTCTGTTGCCGGAGTGATTCAGCGACCTGTGCGGCAGAGACGCGGCCGGCTCGGCGGCTCCGCCCATGAAGCCCGGGAGGTCCCTCGCGAACACGTCGCGGGGGTCGCGCGCCGTCGGGGAGGACGCCGCCGGGGACGGGTAGTAGACGCCCTTCTGCTGGACAATGCCGGTGGCGGCGTCGCGCGTCCAGTAGCCGACGTAGACGCTGCCGTCGGCCCATCGGAAGGTGCCCTGCCCGCGGGGGCACCCGTCCTCCCACCCGCCATCGTAGCGGTTGCCGTTCGACCAGACGAGCGCGCCGCGGCCATGGATGAGGCCGCCGCGCCACTGCCCCGTGTACTCGGTGCCATTGCGCCAGATGTAGCGGCCGGCGCCGTCCTGGAGCCCGGAGCGCCACTCGCCGTCGTAGTGGTCGCCGTTGGCGTAGCTCTTCTTGCCGTGGCCGTGCTTGAGGTTCATGGACCACGAGCCCCGGTACGTGTCCCCGGCGGCGCCGGTGTACGTCCCGGCGCCGTCCATGAACCCGTCCCTGAACTCCCCCTCGTACGTGGCGCCCGACGGCCACGAGAACCTGCCCCTCCCCGTCGCCTTCCCGTGCCGCCACTCGCCCTCGTACATGCACCCGTCCGTCCACAGATACTTCCCGGCGCCGTGCGGCGCGCCGCCGCGCCACTGGCCCGTGTAGAAGTCACCGTTGGGGAGGCCGCGCTCGACGTACCCGCCGTCGTCGCCGCCGCCGGCCGTGGACGCCGACGACGAGGACGCCGTCTCGGGGTCGTCGGCGGCCAGCATCGGGGACACGCGGCGCCTGCTGCCCCCAGGCTGCGGCTGCGGCTGCTGCTGCTGCACCACCTTGCGCACCGTCGCCTCCCACGCCCTGGCGCGGATGTGCTCGTGCATTTGCCGCGCCCGCCTGTCCCGGCCACACCCGTTTCTTGATATATCCCCACACCTCCGGCGCCGCCGCCGCCGGCGCCCGAGCTCCCTGTGGCGTGGATCTAGCACCGCCGGAGGCCGCGGTGGCTCCACGGCGGCATTGCTGGGGGGAGAGCGAGCTCGCGAGATGGGGAGTAATGGCGAGAGGAAGGGATGCACGCAACGCAAGCGAGGAGGAATGGAAGGGGGAGAAGGAAAAAGGGAAGGAAAGCAAAGTGTTTTGGGGTGGAGAGGTTGGGGAAGAGAGGGAGGGAGGATGGAATGAAAGCAAGAGGGAGGGAGGTGGAAGGGGTGTTTTACCTTTAATTTGTTTTTTTTTCTTCTTTATCTTTTGATATTTTAACATGAATTCATGAATGAGTTGATTTTTTTAAGGTTATTTATGGATATAAAATATAAATTATATATATTAAAGAGTTTAAAAAATATTTTAGAAAAATATTCGAACAATTTTTAATATAAATTTAGGAAGCGTGCAAACGAAAATTAATCCAAAATCGAGAATAAAAGATAGAGAACATTTGTGTCATACTCCAGCATTCCTAGGAGAATATGATATTTTTGGTTTTTTTCCTTTTATTCTTTAGGCCGGTCTTTTGTAAAACTTTTAAAGGACTCCAATATTTGTGAACTATTGAATAAACCGATAAAAACCAATAGTACAATACAGATTACTCCTTTCCGAAAAAAAAAGGGGCTGGAGATCGGTAGTTGTGTTGGTGGTTTTTAGTTGTTGGTGGCAGTGTTTGTCTACCAATTAAAGTGTCAAAAGGCTACAGATTTCGGTTCTGCTGTTGTCTCCATGCTTAATTAGCAGTGGTAAGTACTTACCAACTAAACAATCGATCCTCGGCTTAATTTAGGGCTCTGTCTGTTTGTGAGATGGTGGGCTCCTATTCTTTCTCCGAGCTTGCACAACACCAGATGTGAGATATTTAACTATTTACAGCACCGCTCTTATAAATGATAATTAAAAATTTACCGTTTTATTTATATGTCACAGACACATAAAAATCAAGATGTCTCATATTACGAGTGGTAAATTTTTAATTGTCACATCTTAAAAGTGATAAATAGTTAAACGACTCATTTGTCATGTACATGCTTATTTAATTATTAAATGTATGATTTTCTTAAAAAAATACTTCAAAATTGTATTATAATAATTTATTTTCTAGTTTTTAAGCTAAAATTTAATTAATCATACCACCTCGTTTTCGGGAAAAAAGTTTCCAACACTTACTATCAAACACACCCAAAACAGAAGAGTGAAGAGAAGCTATCAGTTCAAAACTACACCATCTCTTCTCCAATTTAGCCTCTCGTGGTCTGAGTGTTGTCTTAGGCCTGGTTTAGTTACCAACTTTTTCTTCAAACTTTTAACTTTTTCATCGCATCAAAACTCTTTCTGAGTGTTGTCTTAGACCTGGTTTAGTTCCCAACTTTTTCTTCAAACTTCTAACTTTTTCATCGCATCAAAACTTTCCTACACACAAAATTCCAACTTTTCCATCACATCGTTCCAATTTCAATCAAACTTTCAATTGTAACGTGAACTAAACACACCCTTACTATCAATTTAGCCTCTCGTGGTCCGAATGTTGTCTTACTATCCATAATTAAAATTTAAAATTAAAATTAAAATTTTTAGTTGATTTTGCTTTGTTTTTATCATGATTTATTTTTGAGCATTAGCTTTTTAACCCGCTAAGATCACAGATTTAAATTTTTTACTTATGAATATTGTTATTACTTAGGACACCTGTGATGTAGAAAAAAATATGGGAAAATTGAAGGTTCCAATCCTATATAAAAACACTAAGAAGCGCCTTTAAACAAATGATGAAATACTATCCTTGAAAATCCTATGAAATGCATAATAGAGATTTTAAAGACAAGTTAGCAAGAGCTCTAACTTTTTGGAAATTTTCTTTGGAGTCCATCTCATCTTAATCTTACGTTTTTTTGCGGTCTACTCAAATGACCGTTCATGTATTTTCATGTGTTTTGCAATTCTCTATTTTGCATTTATATTTTAGTTAAAATTATGTGTTTTTCATATTTCTTTTTTTTTCAATTCGGTGTTTCTCTATTTTGTTTCTTTTTCCCACGGTTTATCGGCTGTAGACCAAACATCAAAGCATTAATTACTAACCAATCGGCCTAGCCTTCTTAAGCTCTTCCTACCTGTGTAGCCTCCATTTGGTTTGTGTTTGGTGTCTTGTCCCTGTTCCTCTGATACCTGCAGGACCATGGATTCAGCTGCAAATATTCAGTAACCCTTGTCATGATATATAGCCTGGTCCTAATCTTTTGACTTGTAGGTCTACCCAGCTGTTTGGTTAAAAGGCTGCTACTAATGACCGGCTTCTGATGTTGCTTTATTTAGCTAATCCAGCACTAATGAAGCTGATCAATCTCATAGGGAGAAGAAAAGAAAGGCGATACACTAATAAAGCAGGGGTATTTATTAGTCAGGATTCAGAGACAGGAATCCCAATCTTCCATGAAAGCGAATCAATCGCCTTGTTAGTTGTTCTTCTGTCATGTAAGGCATGTACCTCCTGTCCTCCAGCTTTATCATTTATTTTAAAAAATGGAGATTAGTATTTTTCTTTGAGCTTCTTCTGACTTTTGGCCAGCACACCTCATCCAAGATTTGATTTTGGAGTATAATTTTACACCAAACGTACAGTGTGTACTGGTTTTTGTTAGAAGAGAAGAAGAAGAAAAAAGAGGACCCAACAAAACCCAGAAAATATGGCACGTTGTCACATTTGACATCCTCGTTCGCTTTCCCAAGAAAGTTGCAATAAGATTACCAAACAAGTTTGATTTCTTTGGTACAAGTATCAGTGGTAGCGTCTCTCTTGACTTTATATCTGTGTTCATCAGCAGACACCATTTCTCATGCGTTTTTGCTGATTGCTGACTTGCTGAAACGGTGATACCGAACTCTCAAAACTGCAAATTAATTGTTGCAGCTGATGAAAGATGCTTCTCTGATGATGCAATTTCAACTCAATTTACCAGCAACTAGCTGCTGCTTGGCCCTGGGTCTCTATCTCTCCAAGACATCAACACAATGCATGCCAAACTTGTGCATTGGAGGATCCTCAGGTCTCCTAGTAATTATCAGTACCACAGAGCCAGCAGTACTGTTGAAATTAATTTCCATCAGAGATCACATAAACTAATGGTGAGATCGCATTAGTCGTGCGTCCAAATAAGTGGTCAGATCTTGATCCATTTCTTAATTAAAGTCTCGTCCTTGCCTGCAGGTAGGTAGCCTAAGCCTGGTCTCAGTTCTGAGCAAAAAATAAGGTAGGTTGCCAGTGGAAAAATATGCTTGACTGGTTCTCTTCTCCCTGATAATTGATAAACTGAACCACCAGTTCTTCCCATTCATCCAACGAACAAACCGACAGATAGATATGGCTAGCAATTAACAGAAACCAAGGTCCAAGTGTGAGGTCAACAATATTGTCCTTGCATTGGCTCACACACAAACTGTAAAGTTGTTATTGTTCTGCTTGTCTTTAGAAGGGCAGAAGTGCAGACACTGTAGCTGTAATGCAATGTTACTCAGACCAAACAGGGATCAGTTAAGTGTACAGCCAAACACAAGGTGAAAAGCATATACTATCTCCATCGTAGTCCGACTATATGTATGGACAAAGCCAAAACGAAGTCTATGTGGGATGGAGAGAGCGAGAGAGACTACAAAAATGTTCGGTAACATAAATTATTTAAGCAATTGACTAGAGCATTTTTATACTACATTTCATCGGTTTTGCTGTTCATTTCAGATATATATTGATCCAACAGGTTGGAGTAGAGAGGTACAACGTATGTTGTTTGTTCTCATTGCCTTCCTATAAATGTTGCAGATCTAGAAAGGATATTGATGACGATATCAAAGCACTGTGCAAAAATCAAAAGGAATAAATAAGGGCACAGGACGTGTCTGGATGGGGGAAAAAATGTACATGAAAACGACTAATGTCATGGACATCACATTGTGATGGGCAAAAAAACAGTTGACATAGATGATGGTTACATGTTTGATACTTTGATTATGCATTTCAGAAAAGAAAAAAAAACGCGCTGACTGTTGTTTTTTTTATAGGAAGAACAGAACTTTACGTCAAAAGATCATCATTACCTCTCGTGTTAGCTTAACACAAGAGTGCAATCACTCTGTGTAAGCAACCTTGTAGAGGCTTGTAATTAGTGCCTCTAACAGCCACTTGCAAACTAATTATGAGCCTCACTTAGTACATGCATGCATGAGCTACCGTTTTATTGTTGTAACAACTATGTATATAAACTCTTGCTGACCAACGCATGTGGAAGGTATGGAACTTAAAATACTTTTGAGAAATTAAAAACGCGAATATTAGGGAAGAATCTAATATCAAATAATTAGAAGGGGTGAGCGTTCGAACCCAGATCGTCTAACCCACCACCTTATGGAGCTTGCCGGAAAACCACTGAGTGTTTCTCAGATACTTTTGAGGAATTGAACTAAATCCTATTGATATCCTATAAAATTTCTGCATTCTAAATTCTGAAGTAGCTAGCCCAAGCTTCCTGACGCATGAGAAGGTCGGTGTGTTGAAACCAATCCTGTAAAACCTCTGATTTCTTCCATATATACATCATCAACCAAACCATAACCTAATTAAGTATACATTAACCAAAATATTTAACCGATGCTAATTACGAGTTATGTGCTTCACTGTTATTTTAGGCTTGTCCTAAATTTAGTTGCTCTTTTAAACCGGTGTACAAGTAGCAGATCATGTATATATGGTGATTAATTAGAAGATCCTTGAGAGATGCCAAATAAAACGGATATAAATGAAACGTATCAAGCTAAGAATCGGCAGGAGAGGCTTAATCTGTGCCATATATAGAGGGGGATATGATCTTATCCCAGAGGTGGTTCACTTGTTGTTTTCCCAGGACCATGAACAGTAATAGCAACAGCCAATTCCATTACCGATTCTTGGCCATAGTGGGAAGCACGCACAATGTGCACCAGTGATCTGTACTGGCGTAATCACATTCATTTTTTTTTGTCTTAATAACAATGATGACGATGATTTGGAACCCCACTGAAAGTAGATAGAGAGGAAACAAATAGGCATGGCCACTAATCACCGTGCTACTATATGTACCTCAACACGTTTTGCAACACATTTATAATCGATCTGACCTAGAACCAATGAGATTGCCAACCTTGTGCGAGAA